GCAGCTGGGGCAGAGTGTCCTTCACTGACAGGGCCTTTGGGGTCCCATCGGTGAAGGGAGAGGCTAAATGCCTCGGGCAAGGGGATGGGAAAGAGACATCCTTGAGGCAGGAACAGCTGAGATCCAGAGCAGTAGTGGGGTCACTCTGTGCCCGGCTCCCCTGCAGCTTCCTCCTTTGTGACAAGAGGCAAGAAGGGGGTTGGGGTGGGTGTTGGTCAGAGCGGAAGTTTGGTGGAGAGAAGGCGTAGACAGTCCCCTATTAGCATCAATGGTCTCAAAGAAGGTTGGAGAAATGCTGTCTCTTGGCAAAGTGGGCCTCCTGGAGACACTTAGGAGAGTTGCAGACGCCTGTAATGCGACCCTAGTCAGTTTGCAGAGAGAAAATCCAGCCAGGTCCAGTCACCTCCGTGGCAAGATATCCTCCAGCAACTCAGCGGCTCAGGCCAGAAACCTTGAAGACCGGATTGGCCTTGGAGGATTTCCATAGCCAGGAGAGTACACTGGAGGAAGAGAGGGACCGAAGGCATTTGCAGCAGAAGAGCACAAGGACAGACAGTGGAACCGGGGCTCAGAAGGGTTGTGAAACTTTCTCAAAGTCACAGAGCCAGTAAATGGTTGGGAACCAGATTGGGGAAAGCGGCGCAACTCTGGTGTATGGTATCCGGGCGCCTGGCAGGAAAGACAGGACACACTCCGACTGGGTAATTCGAGGGGGCTGTAATAAAAGGACTACATACAAAGATGCTGGAGGAGGTGAGAACACACCGGGACAGCACTGTGCCTGGGCCTCCTAGTAGGTGACCGGGACAGCCATGGTAGGACCTGGTGACAGCATGGCTGTGTGGAGAGGGCTTCCCCGTGACGTCCAGGGAGGGAAGCAGCCAGCCTCTGATGGCCCCGCCAAGAGGGAGCCGGGGCACGAGTACCTCTGCCTCAGTTTCCCCACCATTCCCTGCCCCAGTGTCCCCCCAGAGGACAAGGGAACCTCCAGGCTCGGAGCAAGGTGCGTTGCAGAATCAGCACACAACCTCGCCTCCTCAGGACACAGGTCACCGAACCAGTCTGGGGGTCCAACTTCTTTTAGCTGTAAGATAAGAGCCATCACCGTCTGTGATTTGCAGAGGGCTCTTCCTGCACGCGGGCGCTTTACTGCGATGACCCGCCACATGGCAATCACCCCAGCGGCGGCCGCCGGGTCCCACCGAGGCTGGGCCAGTACGCGCTCCCCTAGGCGCAGTGGGAGCGCCGCGCTGGGAAGCGCTTCCTTCCTCTGGCGAAACCCTCCAGCCTCCCTCACCGGGAATTTCCAGCCCCGTCTCCGCGTGGCCGAGCGGCTGCCGCGGGCCTGGGCAGGTGCCCGCCTCTGGCAGGTAACTCCCCGTGCGCAGAGCGGCGCCGTCCACCCGCGGAGGAGATGGGGGTGCCTAGGCCGCCTAGACTCCCGGAGACTTGGGAGGCCACGGAAGCTCCGGGGCGCGCCAGGAGGCGCCGCGGAAGCCCAAGCGGAGGGGAAAGTCTCCTTCCCCCAGGGCCCGGGGGATTCGCGGGCCGCGGCCTCTGCCTTGCGCCACGCGGCGGCTGTCAGAGCGCCCCCTGGCGGGCGGGCATTGGAGGCGCGGCCGCCGCTGGAGGAGGAAGAAAGGAGCTTGCAGCTGCGAAGCCGGGGGAGGCCGCCTTGCTGCGGTGCGGGGGTGGGGGAGGGGAGGGGAGGGGAGGGGAGGAAGGTCCGGGTTCCGGTGCCGGCCCCGCAGGGAGCAGCTGCGGGCGCCTCCCTTCCCGAGGCCAGAAGCAGAGAAACTTCAGGCGGAAAGTACCGCGGCGATCTGTTGGCTCAAGGCCTCCCTCTTTTGCCGATGGGGAATTTTAGGGCCCGGGAATGACCCGCCTGGGTCACCTGGCGGGCCGCTGGCAGCAGGACCCGGGGGGAAAAAGGACAAGGGGCCGACCGCCTGAGGCGGCCTTGTCCTTTTGGGGCCGGGTTAGAACCCTCGGAGTTCCCAGGTGAGCCCCCCATTAGTTAATCCCAAACAAACCAACCAAAATAAAACATGAACCTTGCAAGGGTGCTCAGATTGAACTTGCTCCTTCCCAGGTTTTCCGAATGCAAACATTTTGAATAATTTGACCAAAGGCAATCTTTTCTTCAGTTGTGGGGTGGCGGCGCTTTGCTGCTGGCCTGGCTCGTGCGTGGGCGCCCCGCCTCCCCCGCCCGGCACTGCTAAGCAATGTTTAAGGACCGGAGCTAAAACAGAGTTCACGGTCAGCTTCGCCACTAGCTCTGAGCAGGGGTGAGACTTGGGTTCCGCATCTGCAGAATGGGAGCATGGAAGAGCCCGCGTTGGCCCAGGGCAGAGCCTGTAGCGGTAGGCAGGCATGGGGGTTTAGGGGTGCATTCCGAGCCCAGTGGACCGACCGGCCAAGTGGACGGAAGGGCCAAGACGTCGGGTCACAGCCCAGGCGCTGCTCAGGCCGCAGAAGACCCGCAGAAAACCCGCCGACCTCGCGCGGCTGGGAGCGCCTAGAACTCCCCCATTGTTCTGGTGGGGATTGAACGCGCGCCGGGTGGACGCGGGCGGCCACTTGGCTCTGGGGTGCTCAGCTCTGCGGAACACTCCGGGCAATTTCCGATGCCCACTCCCTCTCCTTTCATTGCCGGAAAAAGAGCCCTAAATATATCCGGCGGCTTGGATTTGTAATCCTCGACTTTTCTTTTACACTGGGCTTCTCTAGCCCTCAGGACAGAGACCATTTTTATTAGGAGTATCAAAATCCTAAAAAAAAAAAAACCCCACACACAAAACTGTAAGATTCACACCCATCCAGGCCTGAAGTTTGCCACACAGGGAGCTACAATTCGCCCGAACACACGAATTATAAACCACTACCACCCTCTCCCCCCCAAATCTTCAAAAGTCAGCAAATCCATAGCCCCCTCAATAATAAGAATTTATTCAAGACACATCCTTTGGAGACACCATTTCCTTCTAACATTTCCAAAATAAAGGGTCGGGCCAATGCTCAGAAACGCATTCTCGTGTTTTCGAAGTTTAAATAAGTTAGCAATTAGCTAATGAAATTTAAAATTAAGGGCGAATAAGTCACTTCTGCAGAACAAATACAACATCCCAGGGACAGGGGTAAAGAAAAGCTGGGAAGAAATCCCCCCTGCGAACAGAAAAGAGGCAGGAGAATCCTCTACCTAGATTATTTCCCCCTCAGCAGTTTTGTAGGAAACTGTCTTGGGCGCAAGGTAGTTGCAAAGAGGTGGCGCGGGGCACAGCCGGGACGCGTGGGTCCCACGGTGGCCTCTGGGTTAAATGAGCCCTCTCGGGTCATCGCTGTCTCTCTGGTACATTTTCGAACCGGAGGCTGGCTTTTTCGGTGTGCTCCGGACAGAGGGGAACTCGCCCCGGGGTAGGACTGCGGGGACTCGGGACACTTGGGGGCATTTACTGAGGGAGCGAAGGCTAGTCTCGGACGCGGGCTCAGATCGGTTCCGCCGTGAAGGCTTGCACCGGCAGTGAACTGCGGCGTGGGCGGCGGCTCTCGGTGAGTCACCCCAGGGGGCGACACTCAGCCCCGGGGGCCCCGCTGGGGTCGGAATCGGAAGGAACGTTCTGTCCCGCAAAGGCGCGAAGCCGGGCGTTGGAGGCCGGCTGCCCCGCCGGAGCGGGGTTGCAGGCACTGAAAACTTTCTGAACACTACCGGGATGAACGTGAGCATCCCGAGCCGCCGAACTGCAAACGTGCAAACGCCGGGGCAAGAAGGCGGCGGCGTGAGTCACCGGGCGAGGGCTTCCGCCGCGAGGGTTTACAGCTCCACCGAAGCTTGGCTTCCCCGCCCCGAGAGTCCCTTCGCAGCAAACTGGAGAGAGCAACTAACACTGGATTTTGACTTAAATAAGTGCAACTCAGTGATCGATTCGCTCCAGGTTGACTTTGACTTAAAAAGAAAAAAAATCGGTGGGAAAGAAACAACACCTGATCGTTAGTGCAACAGGTCAGCAAACCGAACTGTCTCCTACTAAATGAAGGCGAATGGAATGTTGGCTTTAATGTGGATTCAGGGAAAGGGGAAGAGAGAACATTGTCTTAAACCTGACGTCCCCAACAAACTCATATCCGGACAAAACTTTCTACACGTGACTTTCACCCTCCCTTTTCGACCACGGGAAACTTCCTACTAGACTGTCTCACAGTTAATTTCTTCCTTCGCTCCCCCGACCTTTCCCGGCGGTTTGGGAAGGTAGGGAAGATTTTTCCCCGAAGACCGTTTACACCAGTCTCAGTTAACCCACGGCCCGAAAGAGATCAAGCCCTGGCAAAGAGTGAGAAGGGAAAACTTTTTTAAAAAGTTGACAGCCATTTACAAACTTTCCACTTAAACTTCCTAAACCGGTGCCTGTCCCGGAAGCCCCCCCACTCCACCCCGCTTCCGAGTCCCCGGCGTGGGATGGTCGGGTCTGGGGGCTGCAGGCATCTCTGGCCTGACTCGCGCTCCCCCCACCCCCTTCCTTCCTACTGCACAACACACACACACACACACACACACACACACACACACACACACACCACGAGCCCGTCAGCGAAACATCTGGATCTGGACTCGAGTCCCGACACAAGGGCAACTACACGCCAAGGCTGGCTCCTGGGGAGCGAGTGCGGAGATGCGCGCGGGAGCGGAAGCGCACCCCAGCATCACTTGGCGGGGTCGGGCCTCTCCCAACCCTCCGTCAATCCAGCATCCTTCCGACCATCTGCTCCTGTCACCAGCCCCTGGCTCCGCCCCCCCGAGTCCGCCCCGTATCCCGCAGCCAGTAGCAACCTCCGACCTCTCTCCACCGCCCCAAACCCTTTCCACACCCCCACGTTCCGGGAGCCGGTTGGCTGCTGAACGCTCGGCGAAGCGCCTGTGCTCGCAGGGCGCTCCGGGTTTCTGGTAGGTGGAGCGACCCGTCACTCCGGAAGGCTGGGCCCGCCCACCCCACCTCGGTCTCGGGCTCTCTTCCTGCGCAGTTCTTCGCAGCCTCCGCGGGGAAGTGCCGGGGCAGCTCCCTGGGCTCAGTTGGCAGGACTGCGGGAAGGCAGCCCCGGCCAGCGGCCGTGCGCACCGTCTGGAGTGAGCAGGGAGCGGGAGTGCGTTGTTCTCTTGCCCGAGCAGGAGCAGCTCCTGGGCCAGCAGTTGCCGCCACCCCGACTTTCGTTCCAGTTGAGGCTCCTCCCGGGCAACATGTCAAAAGCCGCCACCGCTACAGCTGCCGCCGCCACCTGGGGAAGAGCAGCAGCGGCGGCGGCGGCGGCGGCGGCTGCGGGCGCGCGGGGGCAATAAGCCGAACGACTCCGGCGTCCCGCGGGCCAGGGAACCCTCTCCGCGCTCACAGCTCCGGCGGGCCCCGCGCCATGTGCTGAGCCATGTCCCTCGCCGCGCCCCCGGGCTGCGCATGGGGCAGCGCCTGAGCGGCGGCCGATCCTGCCTCGATGTCCCCGGCCGGCTCCTGCCGCAGCCGCCGCCGTCCCCGCCACCGGTGAGAAGGAAGCTCGCGCTGCTCTTCGCCATGCTCTGTATCTGGCTCTACATGTTCCTGTACTCGTGCGCCGGCTCGTGCGCCGCCGCGCCGGGGCTGCTGCTGCTGGGCTCGGGGTCCCGCGCCGCCCACGCCCCGCCAGCCCTGCCTCCGGGTCCCGATGGGACTGCCCCCAGGCTGCCGTTCCAGGCGGCGCCGGCCACCCCGCAGGCTGCGGGCAAGGAGCCGGCCGAGGGCGCCGCGAGCCAGGAGGAGCAGAGTCCCGAGACGCCGGACTCCCCCAGCTCCATCTCCAGCTTCTTCAGTGGGTCCGGGAGCAAGCAGCTGCCGCAGGCCATCATCATCGGCGTGAAGAAGGGCGGCACGCGGGCTCTGCTGGAGTTCCTGCGCGTGCACCCCGACGTGCGCGCGGTGGGCGCCGAGCCCCACTTTTTCGACCGCAGCTACGACAAGGGCCTCGCCTGGTACCGGTGAGTTTCCCTACCGGGGCCAGGGCCAAGGGCCAGGGCGGCAGCCGCGACCAAGAGCGGCAGAAGAGGGAGATGTGGCATGTGCTGGGGAAGTGACAGGGGTACAGCCCCCGACCACCGGGGGCGGGGAGGGGCAGACAGAGGAATAACCCGCGGCGCCCAGAATCCCGCCCCAGCGTGGTACGGGGTGCGCGGGGCTCCGCTCTCTCCACAACGCGGAGAAACTTCTCGAGGAGCTCTGGAGGCTCCGTGGCCCGCGGTGCGCCCCTAGAATTAATCAAAGAAGGGGGACTAGCGGCTGGGGTGGCGCCCCAGGGAAGCGCGCAGCCGTCTCTGACTGCGGCCGTTTCGCAAACGAATCGATCCAGTGTTGCTCGGAGTTTAATTTTTCCTTTCCGAGTCCGGGACGTTCTGCGCCCAGCCGGTCACGGTCTCCACCCTAGACCAACTTCTGGAACAGCTTCTGCTCCCCAGATGGGGATGGGGATCGGGGTGGGAGAGACGGCGTCTGTAAACTTTCTTCCTACAATCTTACTTTTTGCTGGAACCCGAAGAGGGTCAGACCCACTTGGCTGGCCGGCAACTTGGGCATCGGCAGGGTGAGCTGGGCGGGTGGCCCGGCGCCTCCGCCTGGCAGACCGGCAGACTGGCGGACGGGCGGGCGGCGCGGAGCGTGGAGCGGTGCTGGTCCCTGTCGGGCAAAGGCGCGCACTGCAGCCGGCGGCAGCGGCGCGCGGCTTTGAAGGCTCCCGGGCGCCTCCGGCTCAGCTCGCTGGTTTCCGCCTCCTGGGCCCGGGTGCCGGGAGAGCGCGGGCCGGGACCCCGTCCCCGCGGGCCCTGTACACGTAGGGGCGCCAGGAATGTAAGGGGTTCATTGATTGACAAAAGTGCGTTGCCTCGAGATCGGGGCTTCCCGAAACTCGGTTTTCGGGTCGGGTTGTGGGTCGGGCTCCAAAGGGGCAGCGGCCCTCAGGGTCATAATCACGACCCCTGCCCAAGGCTTTCCAAAGCTACCGGTCTTTGGGGTGAGCTTCTGGGTTGACCGAGCTTCCGGTGAGGCGCGGGTGGGCAGGGGGTCCAGATTCCGGCCTTCGGAAACTTCGTCGGCACCCAGGGGCCCCAGCCACCGGCCCCCACCCGGTTATCTCTCTGGTTGCCAACCTCCAATCCTCACAAGTATGACTCCGTCGAGTCCCCGGCAGGCACCTTCCAGGCCCTCGAGATGCTCGGGACTTCGGAAAACAAAAAGGGGAAGTCGAACCGAACCCCGTCCCCTGTTCCCATCCCCCCTTCTCGGCCCCGGGAGAGAGAAAAGGAGGGCTGACCCAGCGGATTAAAAATCGCTCTCTTCCCAGCCTCGTCCTCCTCCTCCCTTTTGTCCTTACTGTTTTTCTTATTGTCAGGAGTTGCCCAAGTCTCGAGGTTTAGCCAGCCGTGACAGTCACGCTTCCCATCGTTCGCGGGCCGTGGACACCGGCTGTTAAGCATGGGGGCTCCGGAGTCCGACGTCTGGATTCGCGTCCCGGCTCTGGCGGCTCGCTGGGGGCGCCGAGCCTCAGCGCTCCCATCGGTGCAGTGGGGAGCCTGTGCTTCCCACCGGGCGCGGGGGAGTGCGCCGGTGCGCTCGGGTGCCCGGCTGGCACGTGGGGGCACGTGGGGGCCTCTCCGATTGTTACCAGGGGGCCACCGAGTGCATTGTTGTTACTACTTTTCCTCCTCCTGGGGGTCGGGGCTATAACGAGCGCCCTTCCAGGGGGAACCCACGAGGGGCCGGAGGCAGCCCGGGATTTTCGCAGATCAGAGACCGAGGGGCTGGGTTGGGAGGAACCGGCAGGAAAAGCGCCGAATCCGTCAAGTCAGGCGGTCGTAGAAGCACCTGGGGCAGGCTGTGGAAATCCCCACAGGAAGTTTCACGAAGGTTCTTAGGCGGCCGCGCTCCACCTGCCACGTTCCTTTTGATTGACTCAACCCTGCTGAATAAAGGACGAAGCCGCACTGGAAAGCCTCGCTGCGCGCCTGCCGCGGGGAGCGCAGCCGGGGAGCCTCGGGCGGGACCCGGCGCCCGCGGGCCGCGTTGCGAGCGGCGCGCCGGGCGGCTGCACTTCGGGGAGGCGGGAGGTTCGTCGTCTAACCTAGCGGTCCCCCTAAACGGAGGGGCCGAACCGGCGGGGCCAGGAGCCCCAGGGCCGGCGGCGCTTACCCCGCGGGTGAGCGGGGTGGCGGGAGGGGCAAACGAGAGACCCCGCAGGTCGCCCCACGCGCCGCGACCCCGGGAGGCACCAGCTGCGCCCGGCGGGACCGCAGGCTGGGTGACTGTTTTTCAGCAAGGGGGAAAAAAAAAAAAAGTCTTCCAAAATGCCAGCTGCGTGCTTAATTTTTTAATTGATTTAGAATATTCTGGATGTCTGGGCCAACGTGTGGGCTCAATTATTTTGAAGGCAGCCGCTTTAACTTTAAACAGACCCCACCGGGAGGAGACGCCTGTCCCAGAACGCTTTTCCTAAAATCGGTGCCCGGGGAGCATCGCTCGCCCTGGCTGGAGCTTTCTGGGCTCAGCCCAAGCGTAGCTGCTCGCGGGGAGGTGCGTGCTCCTTTGTAGCTCCCGCTGCGCCCGCACGGTCAGGCCGCAGACTGGAGCCGAGTATAAATAATAATTAACCGGAGAGCGTTGCAGTTCGGAAACGTGGTTAAAACAAGCCCTCAGAACCAGAACAGAGGAGGAGAGGGGGGAGACATTCTGGAGGCATTTAGACATTTTGGAGGCATTAAGAAACTACGGGCACGGGTGGTTGAATCCGACAGGCGGGCTGGCAGTCTGCAGGAGAACGAGGGCTTGGCTGTGTTTGTGCAAGTCGTTAATGGGTTTAATCCGCTGATACACAGCCTTGCTGAGTGGCCTAGCCGGTAAACCCCGGGCCTGGGCGCATTTGCATGAAGTCTTAGAATTGGATCGTAGCTCTTCCCACTTGGCGTCATGAGACACGATCGGCCCGAAAGGGAGGGATCGTGGTGGGATCGGAGCCTCCCAGGGTGGCGACACGGACCTGACCTTGCCACCCGTCGGAAATCAGGCGCTTTTCCGCTGCCTTACCTGCTACAAAAATCGAAAGTGCTACTAGTAGGTGTGGTTCATCTGCCCGGGACCCGAGTTTGTTTTAGTCTGGGATTAAGACTCTTGTGGTTTGTTTTTTGTTCCCCCCCTCCCCCAGTACCTTATCCAGCTCGCCTTTTCTCTCTCTGATCAGGCCTCCCAAACTTAACAGGTCTTTAAAGGACCCCACGGAGTGGCTCATCAGGACTTTTGGTGAATCTGGCCCTTATCTTCTGTGTCATGGTTGTGAAGGTGTTTGAGAAATAGGGGAGCAGTGGTTCAGGAGACCCTCATATATGCCAAGCCTGGAGAAGGCACCCACCTCCTACGTTTAGGCTCTGACTAGGGGTCTGACCTTTGAATTTAAAAAGAAATATGTACTTTCTTTAATCAGTTTCTCTTCTTGATTTGGCTCAAGTGTGGTAGATAGTCATGAATTTTAATGACCCCAGTTTGGGGATTAAGTTAGGCAAACACTGTGTGATTCTTGGTTTTTTTGTATAGAGAAATATGCCTTAGACAGGACAGTGGCAGAACTCCTTCCCTCATCTTGACTCTTCTTTCCATTTTTGGTTGTACAAAATAAGCTGACACTTCAATGCTGTGGCCACATTAAAAAAAAAGTATAGTGTGTGGGTGGTTTAATAATGTTGATAGCTAGCACTTACTGAATGTTTTCCCTGTGTGCCAGGCACTGTTTCAAGTTTTACAGGATTAGCAAATTTAATCCTCATTACAGTCCTGTGAAGTAGGTACTTTTACAGGCGAAGAAACACAGGCACAGAGCGGTTAAGCAACTGGCCCAAGGTCTCACAGCCAGAAAGTGGCAAAGGCTGATACAGCCACCCACCCAGGCAGTCCTGATGCAGAGGTCACCCTGTGCTGTGCCACCTCGCTTAAAGTGACCCAAGCATGATGTTGGTCACATACGGTGAGTTCAAAACCTGGTTTGCTTTGAAAGAGTTTGCGTTTCTCTGCAGCATAGGACGGTCAGAGTCCATGGAGTCATTAAAATGACAAAAATACCACTCAAATATAAAGGCAGAGAAAACATAGGGAGTGTCCCTAGTAAGAGCAGATTTATTCTTTTCCATTTGCCTTTTTTAAGGCTGGGAGGTGTGTGGGAGGACATAGGGTTAAAGAAGATGTTACAGAACTTCTTGGAATGAATTTATTCATTAAAAAAAAAATACAGTGCCCAAATCCACACTGAAAACTTGTACTCGTTAACCAAAAGACAGTTCAACTAACACTTTGAGCAGATTTCTTTAGAAGTAGATTCTAAAGCCCAGTCACTTCAGAAATGTCTCTCTTGAAAGCCGGTAGCTGAAAGTAGCAACTTTTCCTGCGTTTTCAATTTAACAAATGCTGAGAAAACTGATTTCTCTCCTATTTTCCTCTACTGGTTCTGTGAAAACCTGGTGGCAAGGACTGCTTCTGTCTTCACCGAGGGAAATTTAAGATCCGATCTGATTGGAGATAATCCTTTTTGAAGTAATTTGCACTTTCTCAGTCCTGGAGTTTAAACCAAATGTGCAACTCACTTCAAGCTGCTGGGTGAAGATCAAAAAATCTACATTTATATGCAACAATTTGAAATACAAACCATCATGTTACAAAGCTGTCAAGATTTATTAGCAAGACCGTGTAGCATGTGTTGAACTCTGGTTTTAATTAGGCACCTAAATTAGACCATAAAATGGTTGATTAATCTTTTACAAGTTGAGGGGAAAATATAACATAAATTAACCTAATCATAAGTGTTTTCCCAGATGCTCCGAGTTAATAAAATAGTCAATATCTAATAGCAACCTATTTGTTTTAGATAAATAAAAGGCTTAAATGTATGAATTAAATTACCCTTAGCTTCCAAGTGGTATGGCATTAATGAACAGGTCGCCAAAAAATT